TCACCTGAGGTCCTGCAGGCCTGTGCTGTTTGCCAGTTAGAAATGAAGGTCAGGAATTGTTGCTGTCCCTGTTAGCTCTCTCATGATGACATGTTCATCATTTATTCTATGTAATTTTATGTGGATGATTAGACATGATTAGACTCTCACATGATTAAACTCTGGGCTGACTTGGCAGCACTCTCTTGGCTGCCTGGTAAGTAGAACAGCCTTGGTAGGACAGCTGATGGGAAACTGGATTTAGGAATGAATGTGGGTGGGAGTGGGTGTGAAGGACTTTCTCCTCATTTCCATTGGGCTTGAGCAGCTTGGGAGAGGTGGGAAGGATGTGCTGCCCTGATTCTTTGGGGCAAAAATGTCTCTTGCTAAGGTTTTCAGGCTGCTGATGTCCTGAAGTTCTTAGCTCTTCAGGACTCCAATATCTCCTTGAATTTATCTAAATTCTTCAGGTTTGCAGAATTCCCCTTCCTCCTCATATAGAAGTCTTCAGTGTCTTTGTTTTGAGAAATTAGCTGTTCATGACAATGTTGGACCTTTTCAGAGAAAGAAAGGGTTTTTTAATTTAAAAATTATTTAATTCTAAAAACAGAGCATACACACCCCGAAACCTGCAGAAAAGTGATTCTTTTGGAGAAAAAGCATTTTGTTAAATCCAGTTTTCTGATTTTACCCCACTTTGGGCAGCTGTTAGTTACTAGCCTGACAGATTCTATGCTTATCTCCAGACTGGTGAAAACACAGCATGGGGATACCTGCTTCACTCCCACCTAGTAAAGAAGAAATCATTTTTAAATGAATGTATGTGCCGTATGTATGCCATAGAGCTTTTACAAGCCACAGTTTAACTCAAAGGTCACATGTGCAAGCAAAGGAAAAAAAAACAAACAAACCAAACCTCAAATATTTTATTTATTATTTTATTTATATTTTATTCTGTATTTTCCATCAGCCAGTGATGCCTGACTGCTTCTCAGGAAGAAGGACTGCAGCACGTGTGGAGTTTGTTTAGGAAGGCAAATGTAAATAATAATTCCTCCTCCTTTTTCTTAGCTTTCATATGTGGCATTGAATGTCCCTGTGGTCACTTTGGGCCAGCTGTCCTGGCTGTGTCCCCTCCCAGGACCTTGCCCACCCCCAGCCTGCTGGAGGGAGCATTGATGCTGTGCCAGCCCTGCTCAGCAGTACCAAAACACATTTTTAGCTGCCTGTGCAAAGCACAGCACTGGGAGGGCTCTTCATCCCAGCCAGACCCAAGACACCTGTGTGGGTACCCTGAATGCCTTGTATTTATTTCTGTTTGGAAAACCATTTTAAAATTGTTTCCTTAGGAGGCCGTGGGGATGAGCCAACGTGTGGAAGACCACTTGGCATGAGAGTGGGGCCAAATAACACCCTATTTGTGGCAGATGCTTATTATGGACTCTATGAAGTTGATCCTGATACAGGTATGACTTTTCGGCTCCAAAGTTTTCTTCCACTGACACATCTGGGCTTCGTTTGCAGTTTTGCCAGATGCTGCAGGCAAAACAATGCCTGTCTTTTTTTGTGAAGTGATTTGAGACTGTCTAGATGAAATGAGTCATGCAAGAACTTGATATTTATTTCCCTGTAACAATCACTTCCTCTCTGTGTCTGGCTGTCTGCATCAGAGCTACCAGTGACTTATCTTCTGGTGTTACATAGTTTTTGTTGTTAAAATTGGTGTCCTAAGATCCATGAATAGAGCTCTGTTGTAGCTGTTTTGGCTTTCGTAAAAGGAAAAGAAAAAGATTGATAACAGAAAACCTTTTGTCATGTTTGCTGTACTTTTGTTTCTGCCTTGATCTCACTGTGGTAGTGAGAAGCTCTTCACTTCCCTGTAACCCAAATCCACACAAAGTAAAGAGAGATGCATTTTGGTGTGGCTACATTGTGTGTCTTTTTTTTCCTTCTTTTTGTATCCAGGTGAAACAAAGATGCTTGTGTCAACCAAAACACCAATAGAGGGCCAGAAGTTGTCATTTGTAAACGATCTTACAGTGACCAGGGATGGGAGGAAGATCTACTTCACTGATTCCAGCAGTAAATGGCAAAGACAAGACTACTTGTTCCTGCTTATGGAGGGCACAGATGATGGGCGGCAAGTATCTCCTTCCCTGCCCTGCTTTAGGGCAAATTTGGGAGAAAACCTCCAAAGGGAGCCCCTCCAGAAAGCAAACCCACACAGACCCTCCCTCCAACCAGTTCAGGAAGGATTCGTCAGAGAGAAGTGGAAAGAACCTGTTTATTTAACAAGCACAGCACCCCCCAGCACACAAAATTAACAGTACCAGATGGCACCACTCTGAAAAAGATGACAAATTCAGAAAGTCTCTCTTAGGGGTGGTCACTCTGTTATCAGTCCCTCAGGTGCTGGGGTAGCTGCACCACAGGGTACAAACTCTCAATGTTTCCAGGTCCCAGTCCAGAGCAAGTTTGAGTAGGAAAGGAAAGGAAAAACAGTCCAGGGAAAAATTTGGACTGCTTAGCTAAACTAACTAATGAGCAGAAGCAAAAAGCAGGAGCAAAGCAGAAGCAAAAGCCAAGCAAAAGGCAAAAGCAGCAATATGTACTGCTCCATCTCTGTGTCCTGCCAGCTGTGGGGGCATGGCTGAAAACAAAACCAAAACTAAACATTCACTCTTCAGAGCCAGTCTTGAAGGCACAATGTAGCCATGATATTTTCTGAAAAATCTTTTGCTCAGAATTTTTCCTCCTGAGAAGTTGACAGGCCTCAGGAACAAAATGTAAACATTGATTATCTGCTGCTGTGGAATGCAACAGGTGCATCTGTGATTGGTCTCATGTTGGTTGTTTGTAATTAATGGTCAATCACAGCCCAGCTGTCTGACTCTGTCCGAGACACAAGCTTTTGTTTCTTTCTTTTTCTATTCTTAGCCAGCCTTCTGATGAAATTTTTTCTTCTATTCTTTTAGTATAGTTTTAATATAATATATATCATAAAATAATAAATCAAGCCTTCTGAAACATGGAGTCAGATATTTGTCTCTTCCGTCATCCAAAAACCCCTGTGAATACCATCACAGCACAGAACATAATATCCAGCATAAACAGAACACACAAATGGGGTACAAGCATCATAACATCACCCTAGGACACCAAGGCATTTCACTTGCTGTCAGCTCAGCTGTAGGAGTGCAATTCACCACTTCTTTGATCTTCACATTTTTTCTCTTTATAAACTCACCTTTGTAAACACTGCACTGCACAGGGGAGGGTGAGGGAATTGTGTGGGTGTTGCTAATGAGACCTGCAGCAAAATACATGAGATTCCCCTTTTTTCTTCAAGAGGACTGGCATGGAGCTTTGTTTTAAAAGGTGTTAGCATTGCATTCAGCACAAATCCTTCATGAATGCTGCCTTGTTATTTCCTGGCTGTTCTGCCTTCTTAACTTAAGTGTGGTGCATGTGAAAAAAGGTGGAATGCCTGAAAAATGAAACACAGATGCATAAATATTAATCTTCACTCAAAAATGGTTTTTTCTTTCAGCCTCCTTGAATATGACACAGTGACAAAAGAAGTGAAAGTGTTAATGGTGGGGCTGAGGTTTCCCAATGGTGTGCAGCTCTCTCCTGCAGAAGACTTTGTCCTGGTGCAGGAGACAACCATGGCTAGAATCAGAAGGTGAGTATGACTTTGGAATTATTACTAATCTGTGTAGAGATTGTTTAAATAAATGAATGGAATGACAAACCCTACACTTAAGTTATGCCTGTTTAAAAACGACAAAGAAGGTGACCTTCCTCAATACTTAATTTTTTTATTTCACTTTAAACATCTGGGTTGCATAATCTTTCCATCATGGGCTCCTTAAACACAGTGGAGTAAGCTGACTTTTCCTGGGGAGAAGTGTGTGGCAGTGCTGTATTTCCCTCTACCAAAATAATGGGAAAAATTATTTTTTAAATATTAGGACTCTCATTTATTATTTAAACTGTTGAGTTAAGATGTTCTAATCTATTATCTATACTTTTCAGGTATTATGTGTCTGGGCTGATGAAAGGCGGAGCAGATATGTTTGTTGAGAATATGCCTGGTCTTCCAGACAATATCAGGTTAAGCAGCTCTGGAGGATATTGGGTAGCTATGGCAGCTGTGAGACCCAATCCTGGCTTTTCTTGGTTGGACTTCTTATCTGAAAAAACATGGATTAAAAGGATGATATTTAAGGTAAAAAAAAATATTAAAAATATTTTTTTAAATACCCCCTTTAGTAGAGGAATGGAAGTGATAAATATTTGTTTCTTCCTCTTCACAGGAAGATTTAAAAAACTTTAGGAGCTGTGGTTAAAACTGTTGTTACTTTCCCCTGGTAGAACAGCCTTTATATATTAATAGGTAGTAAAATTTAACATTTGCTTCTTTGAGTAGCAGGTACACATCTCTTAAGTTGCCTTCCATCTTGATCTTAGGAAAGAAAAAGAGACTATGTCTAACCATGCAGCAAGACAGGATCTTCATTTGGATATGTGAAGACATCACCTGAAGTGCCTAAACTGCTTATTGCCAGGTGTCTGAAGAGCATTTGGGAAGTGTGAGCTGTTCCCATGCCTGCCCTAGGCACCCTAGGAGACAGTGTGCACCTTGTGGATGGTGTTAGGTGACATTTCTGGTTCACTTATGCCTGTTTTTGTGCCACCCTGCTTTAGGATGAGCAAGGATAATGTGGTTTTTTTAAAGGCTAAAGAAACAGCATGGTGCTTTTTAAACAATGCAAAGACTTGAAAACACTTCTGTCCTCAAAAAATAAAAAAGAGCAAGCAGTGCTTAGGGTTTCATTCCAGCTGAACAAGGTGTGTGCTGTCCCTGTCTCTCTGGTGCAGTGCAGGAGCTCTGAGTGATGCTGAGGGGAGCTTGGCATCAGCTGCACCAGAGCAAGCTGCTGTCTCCTGTGTGGGCAGCCTTTCAGCCTGCCTCTGGAGCAGAGTGAGCTTCTGCTGATCCTTTTGTTTCTTCTCCAGTTGGCTTTTCAGATATTGATGTGTTAACCCTGTGTAAGAGTGTTCACTCAAAATGTGTCCTTGTGTTCTTAGCTGCTGCTTCTGAGGAGTGTGGAGTGGTCTTTGCCTGTGTAAATGTCTGAGATCAGATTGTGGAGAGCAAAACTTTTTATTGATTTTTCTTTCTTTTTCTTTTCTTCCAGTTGCTGAGTCAGGAAACTGTGACAAAGTTTGTGCCCAGATATAGCCTTGTTGTTGAACTCAGTGAGACAGGAGCCTACAAAAGGAGCTTCCATGATCCCACTGGGGTGACAGTGGCTTATGTCAGCGAGGCACACGAGCACGACGGGCACCTCTACCTGGGATCCTTCCGCTCTCCCTACATTGGCAGACTTGATCTCCAGCACGTCTAACTGCCTGCCCACAATGAGTGCCACTGTCCTGTGCTGCTCCACAGGTGCAGAGGGAGCATGAGCTTGAGGCAGTGTGTGACCAAGTGACAAAAAGTGTGACAAAAAGTGACAAACTGTCTGTTACGGTGCAGCAGCACTGTGGCCGTAGGAAGAGATACTGTACCTGTCCTCTGTCTTGGCTCACTGCTCACACTCTGGGGCTGGCCTGTATTACTGTTCACATCTGAGGACTATGGGGAGGCATCTTCATTCAGTTCTTTGTTGCTCCAAGGAAATCCACTGATTTTCCTGTGCCCAGCCTTGTTTGGAATCATCTTGAACAGACACCATCATGTCGCCTTTCATGCAACTGTGTGTCCTCTTACTCTGGAAGGAATTGTGATGGATGGAGTTTAATTGTGTGTGATTTGGGTGGAAGAGGGTGGCTTGCATGTGTTAATTTCTGTTTTAGTGCCTCCTGTCCAGGAGTGATTACAGTGCATGTTCTAATGTTCTACCATGGTGCTGTGGTAGAGGCAGCAACATCCAGGACATGCCTAGGAATCCAGTTATGCCATTGGGTTTCTTCAGTCCCAACCTGTGTAAGTAATGTCAGACATTGCAATTAACTGTTAATCAACATGCAGAATCAAACTGGATCGTTACCTGTGGACTCCTGTGTTTCTTTATAGCATTGAGGTCAGATGATGAATGAAAACTGCATTTTCTGTGTTATTAAGAACTAGTTCCAATGAGTCTGAAAAGGGTTGTTGTAGTATTTCTTCCATGTTTTACCAGGTCCTGAAAGTCTCCTGTTCATTATCTATGTGACCATTCCAGGGAGAAGAGGGCTAGCTGCAGGAATCCTCTTCAATGTGCTTTTTATGGAGAACTGGTAAAGATTTTGGGGAAGATTGTTTTCTGAAGGTGGATGTGGACTCAAATGGCACCTGTAAAATCTGCTGTTGGTGGATGAGGAAGGCTTTGGTGGCAGTTTTTGGAATGCATGTCCAGAGACTTCCTCTGTTAACAGCTACTTGGTAAATGTGGAGAATGCTTTGCTGCCAGCTTTGCAAAGGAAAGCCTGTGCAGTTTCATTTTGTGGCTGGAATGGCTGGCAGCACAAAGGTATACTGGCACCTTCAGGGATCTGCTTGGTAGAATACCATGGGATAAAGCCCTGGAGGGAAGAAGAAGCCAAGAAAAGCTGGCTGATATTCAAGGATCACCTCCTCCAGACTCAGGAGTGATGCATCCCAATAGAGAGGAAGCTGGGCAGAAATGCTAGGAGGCCTTGTGTGGATGAACAGGGAGCTCCTGGACAAGCTCAGACACTAAAAGGAGGCCTTTGGAGGGTGGAAGCAGGAGTTGTGGCCTAGCAGGAATACAGAGAGGTTGTCCCAGCAGCCAGGGATCAGGTTAGAGGAGATAAAGGTAAAGATAAAGGAGGTTAGAGGAGATAAAGCTCTGAGAGAGTTAAATGTGGCCAGGGACATCAAGGACAACAAGAAAAGCTTCTGCAGATGTGTGGGTGACAAAAAGGAACGCTAGGAAAAACGAGGACCCTCTCTGAAAGGAAAGGGGAGACCTGATTACCTGAGGCATGGCAATGGCTGAGGTGCCCAGTGAGTGTTTTTCCCCTTCTCCACCAGGATGTGCTCCAGCCACGCTGCCCAAGGTGCAGAAAGGAAAGGCAGGGACTGGGGGACTGAAGGGTCACCCACTATAAATCACATTTTAGGTCATCTGAGGAACATGAAAGTGTGCAGGATCTGTTAAAATTCATCTGCAGATCCTGAGGGAACTGGTGGGTGAAGTCACTGTCCATTGTATTTGAGGAGTTGTCGTGGTCCAGTTAAGGTCCCACCAACTAGAAAAGGGGGAAATAACCCCCATTAAAAAAAAAGGGAAGCAAGGAAGCCCTGGGGGACTGCAGCCTGTCAGTCTCACCTATGTGCCCAGCAGGATCACAGAGCAGAGAGATTGGAACATGTTATTCAGAGAAGTTGTGGATGCCCCACACTTGGAAGTGCTCAGGGCCAGGCTGGAGGGGGCTCTGAGCAACCCAGTCTCACAGGAAATGTCCCTGATGGTCTTTGAGGTCCCACCCAACCCAAAGCACACTATAATTTTAAATAAGAGCTTTTGCATCTTGAAGAACTAAAGGGCTTGCTTCAGCAGCTGTGTGATTCAGTGCATTGATTCTTTGGAATTGAAGATTTTGCTGCTCTCTCCTTTTCTGCCACTGGGTGACAATCCAACCTAAATTTACACTATTGCTGCATTTCTTCACCTTTGGAAAGGAAAGAGATGTGCTATAAATATATAATGAAAAGCACCAGAAAATGGGAAGGTGATGCTAAAAATGTTGCCAGATTTCAATGGTCTCCTGCTCTTCTATTAATGGAGGGCTATGCAAATGAAAACGACTGTTCCCTGTCAGTGCCTCTGTCACCCTGCTCTGTGTTCCTGCCAGGCTGCAGCAGCCCTGTGGCAGGACTGGATCAGGCTGACTTGTTCCTGTGCAGGACAGGGCTGCTTTTTTAGGAAAACCCAGTGCAGGGTGGGCTGCTTCAGCACCAGCTGTTAGCACTGCCCTGCCAGCCCTTGCAGCTGTTGGTCCTCTTCTGGTGGGATATGAAAGCTAAACTTGATGGCATCTCAAGGTGGGGTTGGAAAAGCAAATCTGCTGTGCTGTTTGTTGGGGGTTTTTTTGCTGATGCTTTGGCACCCTTGGGGCAAGCACAGCTTTGCCTCCTGGTACACAGTTTTCCCTAGGGATTTATTTGCCAAAGTATTTCACCAAGTAGCCTTTGGACAGAGTGCAGTTCTCTGTTAAATTTTTTTGGACTTGTACCCCATAAGCTCCCTCTGTTTGTGCAGGCTGGACAGACAGGCTTTATTCAGTGTGAGAGATTAAATCTCTCTGAATCTGTAAAGTCCCAGCTGTAGTGGCACAATGCTAAACAACAAACTTTGCATGGTGACAGGCTGCTTAACCAGGCCATTGGTGTTCCATTTTTCATAGGAACCTTAACACTTCATTTCAGCTGGCTCCCATTCCTGGTGTTGTGCTGGATCCTGATAATCCATCCCTGGTATGCAGAAGTGGGGGGAACTGTAGTAAAACACAGGTTGGCTGACACACAGGTCTCATTATTCATTATAGGGGGAGTTTAAGAACAGTGTTTTTCTAGAAATTATGTTTTTCTAAAAAAAAATCTCTAATTTTTGATTGGTTTTTAAATGGAAGAGTAAAGCAGCAGCACTAAAATGCCTGTGGAATAAACAAACTGGCATCAAGTCTTGATGCTCCTGTGAGGACTGGTTTTACAGGCTCATTCCACTTCCACAGGGGCTGAGTCAGTGATGTGTTGATTGCAGATGGGTGGTGACACACCTGCCTTGAGCAAGGAGAAACCTGGAACGAGCCAGGCTTGGAAAAAGCCAGCCAGTCTCTTTTGATGATGTGAGTGCAGGAACATGACACCTCTGCAGCTCTGAGGCTGGCTCTTCTCTTGTGTGAGAAGTCTTACTGGATAAAAGAGCATTTACAGAGCTATCCAAAGATCTTGTCAGAGCATGAGTGTCTCTGGTGGCAGAAGAAAGGGCTGTGGTACCCTAAAAAGGGAGGAAGTCCTATTTGCATAACGCCCAGAGAAGCCTGAGGCTGCTTCCTGTGTCTTACTCAAGTTTCTTTTGGGACAGACTATGGCATATGGGAGAATGTTGCCCTGTCTCCTGAAAGGCTGGAGAAATTTTTGATTTCATGTAAAGCCCTGCAGTAAAAGTATCCAAGGAAAGGAACTGAGCTGGAATGCACCACAGCTGTGCATATAAAAATGTGCTTTGTTTTACTTTGTTGGTTGAATAGATGTTTCTGCAGGGCACAAGTATCAAGAAGATTTTGTTGGAAGTATTTAAAATGTTACTGCACAGTTAACTGCCCTGTTTCTTGTCTGGAGCAAACTTCTGTACTGCTGGAACATAACTTGTGTGCCCCTGACACTTTTATGCAAAGGTTGGTTTCTCAGTGTGAACAGCTGATGAAAGTGATTGCAAAGTCTTTGCATAAATCTTTAAATTCCTTTAAATTTGTGTCTGCTTTGTGCCAGTAACAACTTTGCAGGTGAGATAATGACCTCTTAAGCTTCTGGCTCTGTCTGCTCAGTGATCACAACAGGGATCTGATGATGCTGACACTTGGGCCTTCTCATTCAACCTGCTTAAAAACAGTGCTGCAAAAGAATGAGCACAGGGGGCAGCTGATTTTTGCTCATATGCTGATTTTTTTGAGGCAGAGACTGAAAAATGTAGCAGTAAGTTGTTGTAGTTAGCTGTGTGTGGAAGGCTTTTTCCTCACAGTCAGCGGCTCTCGTGTCTCCTTATCTGCCTGCTGCCAGCTAAGCCCTGTGTTGGTTCCATGGAGCTGCCCCAGCTGTCAGTGGGCTCTGGAAGTCAGCCAGGTTGTGAAACTGGGTGCATCTGGTACAGGCAGAGCTCCCAGGTCCTGCATGTGGAGCTGCTGGTGTCAGGAGAATGCAGAGTGGGAAGTCTGTCAGCCAGCAATGCTTCATATTTTGGTGGCAGGCAGTTTGTTTCCTGTGCAGTTTAAAAAGTGGGAGTATGAGAGGAAATACTTGCAGAGCAGAGCTTTTGAGCAAATGGAGATCTCTGTTTGAGGATCACTGGCCACTTTGAAGCTCTGCTAAAACTCAGGTTGTGGTTGTCCCATAAGCTGTTAATGTGTCACAGACATCTTTTATGAAAAATCTTTTCCTTAGGATTTTTCCTCCTGAGAAGCTGGGAGGCCTCAGGAACAAAATGTAAACATTGATTATCTGCTGCTGTGGAATGCAACAGGTGCATCTGTGATTGGTCTCATAGAGTTGTTTCTAGTTAATGGCCAATCACAGTCAGCTGGCTCGGACTCTCTGTCCGAGACAGAAGCTTTTGTTATCATTCTTTGCTATTCTATTCTTAGCCAGCCTTCTGATGAAACCTTTTCTTCTATTCGTTTAGTATAGTTTTAATGTAATATATATCATAAAATAATAAATCAAGCCTTCTGAAACATGGAGTCAGATCCTTGTCTCTTCCCTCATCCAAAAACTCCTGTGAACACCATCACATTAATGTCACTGCTGGGATTGTTCCTTTTTTTCTTCAACATACAGAGCTGGCAGAAACAAGTTTTCCTTCTCACCTAATGCCCTAAATCTTTACTAAAAATATCACTGACTTGCCATTGTAACCTGAAATAGATGTCAGAGACCCAGCAAGGTCTGGAGGGGTATGAACTCCTTGGAGTGAGTTGGGGAACTGTTCACGTTGGTGTAAGCAAGATGCAGAGGGCAGAGACATTGGCATTTTGACTGGTGCGTGTCATTGTGATGGAGTGGTGTTTAGCTGCAGCTCTTTAGGTCAGTGCCAGCAGTGTCCTCCTCTTTAATTACCCAAATCCTCCCTGAGTGAAGTGCTCTGGGGTGATGCAAAGAGCTCAGTGGACTTTAGCTCTGCTCCTTTCTTTGGGGCTGATGAAAGCTCTGTTACCATAGCTGAGGGGATGATAGGTGCTACAGATCCAGTGTGCTTTTCTCCTTGTAAAGCACATTGGAATTCTGTGTCACAGTGAGCACTTGGATGCCGCTTTGAACATAAGGCTGATCTGTCTTTCTCAGCAGGAGCTTTTCTGTTTGGATGGAGAGCTCTGAACAGTCGTGCTGCATTTTCCTTGGGAGAACAGCAAAAGCCTGTTGGGTTTGTCAGCCTGCATGGTGCCAAGTTCACCTGGCTTTAACTTTTGTTGCTGTGACAGATGGAGAATTGGCTTGGTGAGGTGATTGAGATGAGACACTGCGTGTCAGGGGCCTGGGGAGTCACACAGGGGCCACTGTTGTGTGATATGCTCGCTGCCTGCATGCATCTCTGCACAGACCTGAAGTGACAGCACGCTGCCTGCTCGCCCCCTTGGTGGCATGTGAGAGGCAGATGACATCTGTTCTGAACACCAGGCTGTCCTGCAGGCTGAAGGAGGGAACATGGATCTGCCCAGCCTGTCTGGAGCTGACAGCCTGGTTGGAAGCCTTTGGCATTGTGTGAAGTGTGCAGCTGAAGGAGGAGAGGGCTTGAGACAATTCCCAACCCCTCTGAGATGTAAAGAGCAGCTCTTTCTGCCTTCTGCTCTCCTACAAGCTTAGCTGTGGCTTGGCTTTCCTGCTTTGTGGACAGCCCAAGCCACCTTTGCTGACTTTCTTTCTCCTTGTCTTTGGCAGCAGCCTGTTGGTGGTGGATGGATGTAGCATCACATTACATCCTCTTGTGGCCCTTCTGGAGCTTTCTTTAGAGCACTGCTGCTTTTCTTCTTTTTTTGTCTTTTTTTGGTTTGTTTTTGTTTTGTTTTGTTATTTTTTTTTACAGCCAAGACACTGCTGTTCCCAAAGATAAGATGCAGCACAGCTGCCTCTCCAGCACTGGATGCTGAATTTGAGCTGTTGCTGAGCCACCTGTTCATCACAAGTGGTATTTCTGAAGCAGAGCTTGAGACTTGGCCAGTTTAGGGATTACTTGGAGCAGATACTCAGCTGTACTATTAATACAATCTGGTTGGAGATCCTCAGAGCTTGGCTTGGAGCCAGGCCATTCACTGGCCTTTCTTGACTGGATGATTGTTAAAAGGGATGAAATTGGGAGTGTTACTGCTAATAGGAGTTACAATATTGCTGCAGGAAGGCAACAACTTCCAGAAAAAAATTAGTATTTGTGGGGGAAAGAAGTGTTCTTTGTGGCTTAGATCAGGGCCCTGCCCATTTAGAAGTGCTGGTCTGTGTATGACTGATCATGGGCTCAGACTTTATGGTTGTTTTAAGGCAGCAGCTGCCCAAATTCTTCCTAATAGGGACCTTAGTCCACTGTAAGCAATAACTAGCCCATGGATGAAGAGTGGAGACTTGAAGGAATGGTAGATGCCCACCTAGAGAAGACCACATTATACTGAACCTGAATATAAGCTGTGGTCTGCCAGAGATTAAATGTTGTGTATTAACCTGGATGGAACTGCTGTTTAACCTCAGAATTATTATTTGGCAATATGATTAGATTTATTAGCCTTGGCATTTGCAGTGATGCCCTTTCACAGCGTAGCTTAGCTTTAATTAAGGTGGAAGCACTCATTGGACTGAGTAATTTCTCAGGATGTTTGTGTTTCAAGACATCCTTATCCATACCTCTGTCTTAAAAAGAAAAAGAGCAGCTCTCCCTCTTGCCTTCCTGACAGCTGAGTCTGACCATTTCCCTGGCACTGGAAAATGTTAAAACTTGTGTATATGTGTGTTTATGTATACCCAGGCAAAGCATCCCACTCTTGTCAAGCTTTCCTAATGTTGTATTCACTCATGCTGTGGTTTAGACTTGTTTCCATCATGGCTTTGTGGAAGTTCATCACCAAACAAGTGCAGCATAGCTTCCTGGGAGTGCTTGGAAATTCAGCCAGAGGATGGATGGCAAATGAATGACAACACGTGTTCATGTGCAGTTTAGTTTTGGAAAAACAGATACAAAACTGGATTGCAAGACATTCAGTCAAGGCAGGCCTTGTCTTTGGAGTGTTTTTCTCAAGGAAAACCAACCATGTGCTTTGAGAGAAAAGCTCTGTGCAGTTCTGTACAGCTGTTCCCACTTCAGTATTGACCTCAGCAGTCCAGGCAAGGAAAAACTCAGGGGAGGAGATTCTCTGGAAGTTGGGCTCTCATGGGGAAAGGTCTTGGTGGCAATGGGCAACAGGGATATGCACTTTGTGTGTCCAAGGTGTTATCCAGACCTCAAAATAGCATCTCAGCATCTGTGAATAAAAGGGGAATAGGTGAGAAAGTTCAGGTGTCTGCTGGTTGATCTCAGCATTGCAGGCTGTGATGGGGCAGGAGAAAACAGCATCCTTTTGTCTGCCCACTTTATCCTAGGAAAAGTGCCATTTGCTGAGTGATCCTGTCTAGTGGGAAAGCCTGTGTAAAGTGTTTCCCACCCAGGAAAGCTATTTAGCACCTACTCTATTTCTGCACACTCTCCTCAGTCCCCCAGGAGCATGGGGCCAGGTGGATGTGTCTGCTTCAACTCCCTGCAGGCAGGAGCTGGCGCTGGATGCACGAAAGGTGAGAACCTGGCCTCACCCCAGCTGGCTTGCAGAGGAGAGGCCTGTACATGTATGGAGACATGGCAGAGCTGGTCTAAAAGGTACAGCTAGAGGTGATCAAGAATCCCCTGCAGTTCCTGGGCACCCCAAATAAATGGAACACATACCTGTTGCAGGTTTTTTTCCCTCTGGAAGTGACATCTGTCCAGGCTGGGATGATCCCTCTTCTCACACACGGTGCGTTTGATTTCCACGTGGAGCATGTACTTCAGCCCTCTGACTATCTAGAGAAAGCAGTTTCCTCCTTTAGAGTGAGGGCAGGGGAAAGAGATGCCAGAACTTTGGCTAGGAATCAAGTGCTACAGCTGGGAACTGTGTGTCACCCACACAGAGCCCTCCTGTGTAGCTGTGCTATAGGGAACAACTTCAGCAGCCCTGAGGAGGATCAGGAATGTTGTGTCTTGGATATGCCATAGGAGGGTCAGTTAGAAGATGGTTTGGAGAACCATCAGGAGCCTGCTGCTCTTACCTGTACCATGGCTTGCTTTATGTGTGATTCCTTAAAGAGGAAGAGGTCATTGGAGCTGTTGTTGTATCTGTAGACCCCAAAGCGAGCAGCCCTGCGCACCTCGGGGCTGTCGGGGTTCACTGGCACAGGGAAGCCAGGTCTTATGGTTGAGTGGGGTGGTGTAACATGTGTACCTGAAACAGCACCAAACAGCAGGGTAAAACACAGCAAGGACATGAAAGGGTGGGAGCTTCAGCCCTCTGAACCAATGCTAAACCCTTTTACTCATCCAATGCATTTGGAGGTCTCTGCTCGCATCCATTACAAGGTAGGTTTCATTTATATGACTGAAATGGTGAAACAGTCCTAGGAAATGAAGTGACAAAGAGATGCTGCCAGAAGTGAAAGCAGAGCTCAAAATTACTCAGCAGAAGCCAGAATATCACAAATACTATTTCAATGTCTCTGTTATAACTCCCGGTTTATAGAAAGACCAGTTTTAAAACTGCTTGTAAAGATAGGTCAGATGTTGCTCAGAGTGCAGTATAGTTTTGATAACATATCAAACACTGGCTCCAGAGTCTTGCTGCTCTTAATTTGCATATCTTATCTTACAGATACGAGTTTTTATCCCACATCCCACCCTTAAACCTTTGATGGCATCTTGAGGTTTTTATGTTAGAAGGATTCAGATGTGAGGAAGAAATTCTTCACTGAAAAAGGGTGGTAAGACACTGGTACATGTTTAATCCCTGGAAGTTTTCAAGTCCAGGCTAGGTGGAGCTTTGAGCAGCATGATCCAGTGGAAGGTGTCCCTGTCTGTGGCAGGGCTGTTGGAAGTAGATGGTCTTTAAAACCCCTTCTAACACAAAAAATTATATTATTACCAAGGTCATGGAGTGGAGAAGCAGGTGTGCAGAAAATGGAAATTGGGCAGTGGGGGGGTTAACCCATGACCAGAGCAGTTCATAAAACCATTTACTGTATATTTTTACTTGCTTGTGTAGCTTTTTCCCCATGCACTGCATATTTTTCCATCATTTAAAAGAAGCTCAAAGCTTACAGTTGATGTCATTATTTAACCCCTTTTTACATTTCCCTTCCTCTCCATTTACCCACTTCTGAACTCAAAGAAGAGGAAGAAAATCCCCAATCCTGGAGAAGGTGCCATCCAGCCACTGCCAATGCCAAGGGCTGCAGGTGCAGGACGTGACCCTGTGAGCGTGCGAGCCTGGGTGTGCTTGTGCCCACAGGTGTACACATAGAGGATGTATTCAATCTGCTGTGAAAGTCAAGCTTTTTAACACCTCTAGCTTTTTTTCACAGATAGATCTCTCACCCCCAGCCAGCTGCACAGAGCATAGGCTGCGTGCTTAAGCCACTTTGCAGGGGCAGCTTGATGATCTGAAGTCTATTAAAAAAAATAAATAAACCAAACCAGAATTATGTAACATCAGCAGCATGGAAGGTGACAAAAATTTATCACACATGTTGCTTATGCACATCCTACTTATACTGTCACGTCCTTCTCACAGGTGTTAATTGCTGCACCTGCTTGTAACAGTGCTCAGGGTTTACGCCTTGACCTGCAAAGGAGAGACTCAATTCCACATCTCTCCTCAACCCAAGGATGTCCAAATCCACCTCTCTTCCTGGCTGATGCCCCAGCTACCTTAATGACCCCTGTATTTTCTTGCAGGTGGGAGCTGAGAGACCCAGGCCATGTGTTGGAGAGGAAGGGATGTTCTGCAGGTGTCTTTTGTCTGCTGTGGAGCTGATGAGCTTTCCTGTGCCCTGCCTCTGATCTGTGTTTGCACTATGGGTGTGCAGCCAGTGTTTTGTGATGTTTTTTCACCCAACAGCCCAGAACCCACTTGTAGGTCCCAAGACTACTTATCGATGATATTTTCACCCCCGACAAAGGGAGAGAAATGATGCATCCAACTCCATCTTATCAGAAGGCTAATTAATTATTTCATTATACTATATTATTCTGTATTATTTTACATTACATCTAAACTGAATCTGCCAAGCACTCAACTGCACTCCACTGCACAGAACTCGTGACTGTCACCCAACAGTCCCAACACACACTCGGCCCTGACAGGCCAAGGAAACAAAACCCCATCACTTTGCGTAAACAATCTCCATGTTGCATTCTCCTTTTGCACAAACACAGGCACGGCAAATAAGAATTGTTTTTCCTTCCTCTGAGGTTCAGAGAATGTGAAACCCAGAAATGTTCTTGGGAAGAATTGTGCCTTGCTTTTCTCTGTGAGGAGGAATGTGGCTACACCTGTTCTCCGTGGGATGGTGTTTTCCCACTGCAGCAAGGGTGGGATTTGAGAGTCACAGAAGCTTGTGACCATCCAGCCATGGACCAGAGGTGTTTCTCAAGCACATCTCACCCAGTGCTCAGCTTGTGAGTAAAACTTTTCACAGGGGTTTAAGGCACTGGCATCCACAGGTAATTGAGGAGGGCCATGCAGGACCTGTCTGCAGGCAGAAATTAAGCTCCAGGCAGAGCAGGGCCTTGCTTTGCCCACCAGGCAGCTGTTCTGTTGCTCAGAAATGCCATGCTTTTTCCTGTGCCATCAATAGCAACCCTACAGCTGTAGGAACCAGCTTTTTCCTGAGCTCACCTGGCAGCTGGGACATCCTGCCAGGCTGAGAGCAGGTTGCTGCCCTGGGCTCTTCTTGCTGCTCCCCAGCACCTTGCTTGAATGTCTGCTCTCACACCTGTTGGAAAGTCAGGTGTTGCAGTGTTGACATCAGATACTGTTCTTTGCAGAAGGGGGTGATAACCACAGCCCCTTTCAATCTGTACACAATGACCTTTTGTGGCTTTTGAGAACCTCTTGAGTCATGGTGACGTCTTTTATAGGCCTGGGATGAATGAGACTGGCTGAAACCACACTGTGTGGATGGAAAGAAAACTATTATGTGCATTATTCAAACCAAGAGTCAGAGTCCAAGAGCCCTCGTTCCTGCCTCCAGTGCTGGGAGATCCAGCAGTGTCACACATGGCCAGGCCTCTGAAATGCATCACCTGGAGAGGTGAGCAAGCTGGACAGGTGTTGTAGACAGGTAGACTCAATATACCATATGTTGTAAGCAGGGGATGGGTTATAGGTTATATTTCTCCCCCAGCTTTCACTAAGGAGTACTGGGTGTTTTACCTCGTTCACCTGATACAACTTGGTGTTGAAAATTACTCATACCAGAGCAAAGTGGGTATGAAATCTACTGAGCCCTCGTGGGAGATCTTTATCCCACCATTTTCCTCTCAGATTCTTTAGGGCTAGGATTTGGTTTTCTTTGTGTGCTTTCATTCAAGGTGGTCACTGCATGGCAAACACACAGGTCTGAAATCACTTTCAGTGTTTAGAATAGTTTGCAGCACTCTATTTCCAAACCCCAGGGACACTCTGGTGTGAGGTACCTGTAATTCTGATTTTCTCTCTGCAGCCTTTTCTGAGTATTTCATCTCTGGCTTGTCTTGAGTGCCATTTCCTACAAATTAGAATGTGTGTGAGGTGATGGCCCCGTTCCAGGCACAAGGCAGACTTGGCTCAGAGGGCAGATAGCTCTGCAGGGCTCTAGGCATGCCAGGATTCCTGAAACATCCAGGCTGTGTGGGAGAAGAGGCACAGCATAACTTGGCCAGGCACCTACCACACTCAGAGGGCATGAGTGTGTGATCTCACCGTCTGAGCAGACAACTCTTGCTGCTCTAGGGAGAGGTGCTCAGAAACAGAGCATTCATGTTCACAGCCCATCCTTGCTCCTGGATTTGGAAATGTCAAGAGAGAGATGGAGGAGCCAGCCCTCCTCTTGCTCCTTCTGTTGGGCAATAGTAGGGTTAAACCCTTTGCTTGCTCAAAATTAGCTGGCAACCATCTGTTATTAAGCAAACAAGGGCTGGTTTTGCAGATATGAGCTGAATATTGCATTAAGACGCTCTCTATTGTGCTTCCCTCCTTGAGGATTGCTTTGGGGACCTTGCTCCTGCAGTATGAGAGCAATCAATCCTGTGCTGCTCCCTCCCAGGCTGCAGTGAAACAAAAAGCAGATTGCAACGTGTTGATTTTTTCTTTTCCTCACCAGATACTTTGAAAACGTCCTCCCCATTTCTCCCTCCTTTAAAAACTTCCTCCCCCTAGCAAGTCTAGGGCTTTATCTTTACATTTGAGATGTGGCAGAGCCCCCAAAGGAAACCACAGCAGAACAAAAAAGCTACTGGCTAACCCAACACCATCCCTGAGTTCTTTCTGTGTATGTGAACCTAAGTAATGCTGAAATATATTCAGTAGTACTGGACCAAAACCTTCAGAGAAAAACACACATGTCTGCAGCTCCCATTCTGAAGATTTAAGGCCAGCTGCAATCAAGAGAGTTCCCTTGCTCAGCAAAGAAAGAAATGAAACAGGTTAATGCTTCATTAAAAGTCAGCTAATCTGCACTCAAGTGTCCATCTGTACTTAGCAGTCAGATTGTTACCCGCAGCCTTTAGATTTAATAATCAAGGTCACACAGAGTTTAAACACTGACAAATGAGTTAAAACCATAAATTGACTTTAAAGCCCCTAAATGATATCCCTGGACAGCATGGTTCACTACACAAGGAGAAAGTCTTTGGAGCAGTTGGGTTTTCAGCTGCAGCCTGAGCCCTGCAGCGCTGAGCCAGCACGGGCAGCTCTTGGAGAAAGGCTGTTACTTACCACAGCACCACGTAGCAGCACTCACAGAACGTAAACCACAAGGAAAACAGCAGTTATTTCCCATTCTTACCACCTGAAGTCCCGGTGAAGCTCCAGAGTGCCAAACAGCAAAGCGCAGCGAGGCTGCAGGGGAAGTTCACTGCCATCTCCACCGCTCCACAAGAGGAGCCCGACTGCCCGGGGAGTCACTGCCCTGCTTCCTGCCAGAGATATGCTTCTGTGAGTGCTCTTATTGGCTGGTGGGGATGAAAAAAACCACCCTGAAACCCCCTGAATCGTCACAGCTCTGGTGCAGGCTTTGTTTCCTGCTGATGACCACATACCTCGAAGCCCAGCCGCGAAGCTGCGGCTTGGTGACAGCAGCACCAGCCTTGCATGAGACAGGGACTTTTGCTTTGTGATCCTCAAGAGCAACAGCGTGGACAAATACATGTGATACAGCACTGGAAAGGGGTGTGGGGGTGAGCAGAGTTACTGTCATGTGCTGTAAGGGTCATGGGGGAAATTCACATTTAAGAAAGAGTTAATGAGCCCAGGGGATGTGGCTCTTGGCTTGAATTTGTGCATCTGAGTGTGGACACCTGACAGAGGTGATGGGTCCCGGGTTTTGCCCCCCCTGATGTGGAGATTGGGGGTTGGGTGAGGGAGATGAGGAAGTTTTAGGGGTACCTACCCAAGGGGGCTGTGTAGAACAAAAACAGTGGGGGAAACATTTTGGGTTTGGTGGTAGAGCATCACACCCTCCATTTATAAAAGGTGTTATGACAACAGGAAAGGGCGGCATTAGAGAGGATTAGTTTTTTCTAGGTGATATCTAGAAAGAAGAGAAACAGGGGCAGAGGGGTATTTTGTCTCTCTGTGGCTTGAATTATCCAGTGTAAGTCCTTGGTTTCTAGAAGATCCTCTCTAGTCAGTGCTGCCCCATGCTGAGGAGCTTGAAAGACCAGGGAAAGTGCTTGGTTTGCCAGACTTTGTGGTGCAGCTGAAATAACCAGCTGACAGATTCAGGAGACTGGGAGATGAAATGTTGTCTCACTGAAGGGCTGAGAGGGGTGGACCTCACTCTGTATGTTTCAGGTGGGCAGGAAGGTGATGGCTGTTCTTCACTTGCCCCAGCAATGCCCCTTTTTGAGCAGAGGCATCTTATGGCCTTCAGGTAAAGTCCTAATGCAGGGCACTGCAGGTGGAGGAAAATATTCTTAATATTTTGTTGTAGGAGGGGATTAGATAAATCCTCTTTCCAAATGTCCCACAGAGAAAGAATGGGGCAAGCGTGGTGTGTCACTCTGATCATCAGTCCTTCTTGCACAGGCTGCTGAATCAGACTTCTAAGCCTGGGAAAACACTGACGCAGAATGAGAAGGGATTTTATTGAGGGGATTTTAATTACTCTCCCTCCTTTTATTTTTTTTTTTTTTGAGCTGTCATGGCAGCCTGACTACTGTGACACAGGTAGGGACTCCATCAGGTGTCTTCAGCTCCCCCCTTTTTCCTGAAGAGCTGCTCTCTACATTTGCTACCTCACTGACAGGTTCTGGTGAGTATCATTCTAAGCCTACAGTCAGGTGCTCTAACATACAAGAAGGAGGTGATTGAGACCCTTTAAGGCCCCAAAACTTGCTTGATGAGACACTTAAAAGGCGTTTTATTTACTCTGAGATAGAGGCATAGGAGAAATGCTATCAGGATGTTCTCACGGGGTCAAAAAACTAAAAAATAAACCCCTTTACTGGCATCTTTTGAAAATCAGCAAGTTTTGGCAAAATGTTTAGAGTACCCTACAGCAGCCTTCAAGTACCTAAAGGGGCCTAAAAGAGAGCTGGGAGAGGGATTTTTGATGCAGTGACAGATCCACAGGAAATGGCTCTAACTTTACTGAAGGCAGTTTTAGATTAGATATTGGGAATAAATTCTTTGCTCTGAGGGTGCTGAGGCATTGGCACAGGTAGCCCAGGGCATTGTGAATGCACCATCCCTGCAAGTGTTCAAGGCCAGGCTGGATGGGGCTTTAGCAACCTGTCCTGGTAGAATGTGTCCCTGCCTGTGGCAGGGGGGTTGGAACTGGGTGACCTTTAAAGCCCCTTTCATCCCAAACCATTCTGTGATTCCATAATAAAGCCAGACAGCCATTTCAAAAAAGCAGCATGTGTCTTCAGGTGACACATTTTTCCTGTCTGCTTCCCTTGCCCCTTCTTTCCATAAAAATTGATCAGTTACAGCTTTTCCATTTCAACTTTTTCTAGTGTCCCTTTTATGATTTTTGTTGAGGAGGTTTCTCTAGTTCTTTACTCCTAGGAAGAAACAGAGTGCTCACTAATGAGCAGAATTATTAATAGTGCTAAGTGGTGTTATGTAAAAAACCACAAAGACACCAAAAATCCCACCAAACCTTCTCCCACTCTCCCCAGTAAGAGCCAAACAGCATCAAACTCCTCTAAGGCCACAGTGTGCACATACCTGTTATTTTTTCTTTGGGAAATTTCCTGCTGTGGAATAAACAAACAGATGGACACTGTGATGGTTGTCCCTGTCACGGTGCTCACAGGGGTCCCAGGATGAGGGAAGACATGAGGATCTGACTCCATGTTACAGAAGGCTTGATTTGTTATTTTATGATAATATATTACATTAAAACTATACTAAAAGAATAGAAGAAAAGGTTTCATCAGAAGGCTGGCTAAGAATAGAATAGCAAAGAATGATAACAAAGGTTTGTGGCTCAGCTCTGTGTCTGAGCCAGCTGGGCTGTGATTGGCCATTAATTACAAACATCCAACATGGCCCAATCCCAGATGCACCTGTTGCATTCCACAGCAGCAGATAATCAATGTTTACATTTTGTTCCTGAGGCCTGTCAGCTTCTCAGGAGGAAAAAGCCTAAGGAAAGGATTTTTCACAAAGGATATCTGTGACAGTCCCTTTGCAAAGTCTCATTCCAAGCAGGTGTCCCTTCCTGGGGTACTGCTCTGTGCCCCAAATCTATCTGCAGAAGCGGAGCAGTGTGATGTTTTGTCTGACATCCAACCCCAGAAAATGAGTCAGGTACTCTTACCATTGAAGCTCCCTGAGGGTCACTGGCAGGAATTTCATCCCCTTTCCCTGGAAAGTGTGTGTAGATCTCCTCTACAGCAGCCCAGGGCACTTTGTGGAGTAGATTTCACTCGCTGAATTTCCCAGGGTGTGAGCAGACATCCTGAGCAGGGAGAGGATGAGCACAAGTGGGCACAGAAACACTCACAGATTATCCCAGGGTAAACAGAGCGTTTGTTTTAAGCAAATAGCTACCCCTGACCCAGTCTAGATCAAACTTGTGATCTTTCTGCATTAAGAGGGATGATATAGATCTTGACAGACTTGCACACATGAAGAGGCCTTGTGTTTGTTTTTTTTTGGTGTGAGTAGGGGATGTTTATTGCAAGCCTTGGGATCCCAAGGCTGCTCTGTTTTCTGCAAGGGAATTTGCAGGGTTGTTACATTCTCTCTCTCTCACTGTTGGCCTGAGTTACAAGAGGCTTTGGCAACAGTGCAACTCTGGGGACTCTTCAGATTAAAATAGAAAAAACCAACCAAACTTCTATTATTCATAAATCAAGGATGTAATTTTATCCTCCTTTGGACTGAGGAAGCAGAAAAGCCGCTGTACCTGATATTTGATTTTCATTTGGAACATGAGGTGGACTTCCTCATCATCACTTTCTGCTTCAGTTACTTAGGGCCAGACATTTGTCCCTGCAGCACAAGCCAGCAGTTGCTACCACGCCTGCTGGAACAATGCCACAGGACCTGCAAGGGATCCTGTTGCAATTACACTCCTGTAAATGCAATCAGCATCTAGCCCTGCACCCACAATATTTCATTTTCAGTTCCCACTCCCTTTTTGTACTTCGTGGATCAGTGGGGACTGTAAGAAAAACTAATCTCATTAACTTTTGCAGGGAGTTGGAGGATGACTGGAGTGTGTTTGAATTGTGCATTCCAAGGCTTTAATTAAGATGCATTTACCACTGTCAATAGTTGTGGGGATTTTTTCCTTTAATTTTTTTTAACATTTTCTTGGCTTTCATCAGATCTCTAGGACAGCTAATTTTTTGGAGTTGCTTTAATGAAGGCTTTGAGCAAGATACTCTATACTAGAGATCTTTGCACTTTGCAAGGGCAAAATATGTTGAGGTCCAGAAAAAGGATAGTTCAAGGAAGAAGCACCAGGATAAAGAACTGAGTTGAGGTTAAAGAATACAAAGAATATAAAAAAATATGTTTAGGTTCAGAGAAAGGATAGGTCTAGAAAGAGGCACCAGGATAAAGAATCCAGTTGAGGATAAAGAATATAAAAATACATAAAATATGTTGAGGTCCAGAGAAAGGATAATTCTAGGAAGAAGCACCAGGATAAAGCATTCAGTTGAGGATAAAGAATAAAAGAGTATTTTTAGTCAAAAGGAAAGGGAGAGATGTTGGAATGTTAGGAGACACAAGACAGATTATAGACTTTAGACCTAGTTAACATAAGAGATTTGATAACAGGATGCCTTGGCAAAAGCAAACAGAACTTTGAAAATTAGACTGGGATTGCAAGAAGATTTAATCAGACAAGTTTACCAGAAAAAGAAAATCCCATTAAACACTGCAAGCAAGAGATGTTGTTGTATGCATAAGTTTGTGTATGTGATTCCAACCTAATCATTGTAGTACACATCACTAGTCTCCCTAAAATAGTATATAAGTGCTTGTATCCCACAATAAAATCAGATTCTAATCACCAAGTCAGTCTCACCATCTCTTCCCATCACCACATATAAAGAATATAAAAAATATGTTGAGGTCCAGAGAAAGGATAGTTCAAGGAAGAAGCACCAGGATAAGGAATTCAGCTGTTTCTCTGCCTTGCTACAGCAGGAACACCTCCCAGCCCAGCTTTTGAAAAGTGGGAAACCACCCTGACCAGCCACAGGACACTTGACACCCTTCTGAGCAGGGTGTGGCTGAACAAGTTTGGGGAGGTGCAAGGGGAAGGAGCATTGGGTCACTGCTGGGGGCCCCATTTGGGAATTTGTGTCCATGCACACAGCAACAAGAGGATGCACAACAGAAATTGGTGGGTTGGCCTCCAAGCAGAGAGTTTGTCCACTTGCCTTTCCTGCGAGGTGCTCTGTAGCTCAGCCACTCTCCCCTGTGCCTCCACTGCATAAGAATTGTGAAT